TCATATTACAGACTTATGATTGTATCATATTGTGTTCATGGCCAAACATGAATAGAGGCAAGAGAAGCATGGGCCTTAGAACCCAATTTTTTTTTAATTTATATTGACATTTTGTCCCTATTTTTTTATGCAATAAAGGCCCCCAAAGTTTTAAATTCTTTAATTTTTTGTTTTATTTTTTAAAAACTATATATCTAAAAAACTCAAAACATTTATTTTCTTACTTGGACCCCAAATTTTCAGGGCCGACCCTGATTGTATGGTAAATTTTCTTGTAGGCTAGACTTTTGTAAAAGTTATTGTAGACTTATGGCCGTACCATATTGTGTTATGGTAGATTTTATTGTACACTGTAAACTTTTGTATCAGGTATTGCAGATTTTGTAGTTTGAAGTATGTAATGCAGATTTAAAGGTGATGTCGTCTTTAGGTGATGAGGAGAGTTGTTCGAGGAGTGATAAGGAGAATCATCTGGAGAATGTTAAGGAGACTGATAAGGAGAATCATTTGGAGAGTGATAACACTTTTAACTTAAGTCTACTATACACGATTCTTACTTTGTCAATATCTGCAACGTACAAAATAAATCTATACAATAAATCTACTACACCAGAATCAATGTTAGAAATTTAAATGGACTTTTTAAAACTATAGCTTTGAAAATAATACAAACAAATGTAGATACAAGAAGAACCATACCAGTCTCAAAGTTTCTTCCATATTCCCACATGTAAGGTTTGATATCTTGGACACGGTATAAAGAATTATTCTTCAAATTAACGTGTGTCATATTGTCTCTAAGTCATTTGACATTGCTGGTAGTCCGCGAAGTACTGTTACGCTTCTTGGTTTCTGTTTTTAACACACAAACACAATGTAGATAAGCAAACACAATATACATATCTCAATTTTCTTCAAGGCTACACAATGAAAAGGCATGAGGTACAACTTGTTTGTTTCTTTTTGATAAATTCAAAAAGGGAAAACAAGTCAAAGATGAAAATCGAGACTCATATGCCTTTCTTTTATTTTTTTTTACTTTATAACTGCGAAATTAGAGAAAACAGTTTCTAAAAAAATTTATATAATAAACTTACATATTGAGCCAAAACAAAAAATATATATAATAAACTTACATAAATTCCTTTTTTGTTTCACAAGTTATTTATACGACTGTGCCCTAGCTCTTGCCCTATCCTCAATGCAATATATATACTAATATACACGCACATATATAATACACAACACCAACTGCGATAGACAATATCAAGAGAGCTCGATGAATGGAATAGATAGCCTCCCAATTGATCTCATCGCCAAGATACTCTCGAATTTGCCGGCCAAGTCCGTCAGTAAGTTTCGTTGCGTGTCGAAGCTATGAGCCTCAAAATTTGACCAATCATATTCCACCTATTTGTTTCTGACCAGGTCTTCAGCTCGGCCACATCTCTTATTCTCCCTCTGACTCTATTCAGGAAGTTCGCGTAATTGGTGTTGTTTATCGTCACCTCAGCCTCATAATCCGGATGAGAATTCGTCTATCTCACTCGATTTTTGTATGAATTTAGGTTTAGGCTGTGCCCCTGTCTCTGGCTTGGTCTTCTGCCCTCGTGTTGATACGCCAGACAACATACTAGAGTCACGGACATGAACCCTACCACCGGACAGTACGTAGACTTACCCATACAGACACGAAAGAGAATTTCGTGGGATTTTTTTGGCTATGATCCAATCGGAAAACAATACAAACTATTGTGCATGAGCGACGGTCCAGGAGGAATAGTCGCACGGTATCATCTTTTTACATTCCCATGTGGAAAGAATGAGTCTTGGAGGTCTATCCAATGCCCTAGTCCCACACGCCATAAACCCTTCTCTTCTGGGATATGCATCAATGGGATTTTGTATTATGTTTGTCGCAAAGAATATGCAAAGTCTCGTGTGATAGTTTGCTTCGATGTTAAGTCTGAAGAATTCAAGTTTGTCGATGTACCAAATGACCTATAGCTTGAAAGTAGGCGACGAAATGTTTGTCTGACAAAATTCAATGGTAAATTAGTTTTGATTAGCTCGACTTCTTTAAGTAATGGAAGGACTAAACTTGAATTGTGTGTGGGGGTTCTAGAGGATGACAGGAAACCTGATTGGTCAGTACATGCCTACTGATTGACGCTTCTTTTTTATTTTTTTGTTAATGTGGTTGGAATGATTGGTACAGGTGAGATTGTGTTGGCCCCGGTTTTTGCTTTCAAGTCATGTCTCCCATTCTATGTTTTCTACTTCAACCCGGAGAAAAACACACTTAAAAGGTTGAAATCCAAGAAATGGAAGCATTTGAGGGTTATACGGTTAGCATCTACATAGACCATGTCGAGAATGTCAGTTTTATAGCATAGAGCTAGCTTGACTCTTGATTAATGATTTCTACTTTTTCGGTTTTCTTGTTATGCTTTTACTCTTTATTAGATATACCAGTAGATCATTGCATTAATATTAAAATAAGTAATCAAGTTTTGAATATCTCTGTTTTTTTTTCTCTTATTTTTACTCATAATGCCTGGTTGTTCTTTTCTATTTGCAAAATCATTGGATTATTGATCGACAGAAAGTACAAGTACTACTAAAACTTGTGTATGGACAGTGTACTATGTGGCGCTGTACTCATAATGGTTGTTTAATTATACTTGCAAAATTTATCATGTATTGTATTAGTGATAAATCGCTCTTATGGATCTAAAGTGAGGAAACGAACAAAAAAATGAATTGCAATTGGAGCATAGAAACAATAAATTGATCTGAACAAAAACAAATTGGAATATCCTTCAACATATTTCCTCT